TTTCGTCAGGTTGTGGGGAAAGCTACGTCGGCCGCTTTCGGCGGAGTGGCAAGAGACACACAGGTGCGAGCATATGTGGGGGTCAAGGGCTGGGCAGACTTCGACCGATTCAGCCTTCGACCACAACCTGAGCCAGGAGATAGGAGAACTTTTAGGTGAGCACACATGCACCATTCTCCTGGACATGACCAAGTGCTTCGATATGGTCAGTCACAGTGCACTTCTCCGAGAAGCTAGAGAGCTCGGGTACCCGCTGAGGCTCCTGTGGTTGCTCCTGGGCTCCTACCGTCAGCCGAGAAGGATCAAGTGTTTTTGGGTCTGTATCTAGGCCCTTGGTGGCCCATCAGGGTATTCTTGCGGGCTGCACGCACGCCACGTACCTTCTTTACCTCCTCACGTACCGAGCGGTCCAGCGCACGGCCAGTATTGCACCTTCTATCACGCCACGCACGCTCATGGACGATGTGGGTTTGCAGTACGTGTCGCCTGTATTGAGGGAGGTGTCCAACCTGGCCCGTGCGGCCAAGGCGTTTACGTCGGATGCTGGAGATCTTGGGATGGTCCTGAAGCCGCCGAAGTCTGGATGTATCCCTGGGAACCAAAAAGTTTGGGGACAGCTCAAGAGGCACCTGGGAACCTTGAAGATCCCGTACAGGGCCCACATGAGGAATCTGGGACACGAGCTCACAGGACCTCGAGTTCTTCGGCATATGGAGAAGCGTAGGTTGGTGCAGTTTCGAGAGCGCAAGCATCGTTTTCGCATGTTGAAGTCCGCCGTGGGGCGGAGTGCTACCAGCCTGTGGCGCACGGGCGCCCTTCCATCAGTGGCGCATGGCGGTGCAGTTGCTGGAGTTCGCGACAGCGCTCTTCGTGAGTTGCGACATTGTGTTGCAGTCCTAAATGGTGCTCCAGGTAAGACGATGGTTGGGGTAACAGCGTATCTCATATCTCATCGGGATGAGTGTTATGACCCCATATATAACGCCACCACGGATATTGTGCTCAAATACGCCTCCTGGATCTGGGACGGACGTGTGCAACCAAGCAGACTTCGGGAGGCTTGGGTGCGTCTGGGTGCTAAGTTCGACAGTTCACCTTCCTGGGCCAAGGCGCGTGGGCCCCTCGGGGCCACTTGGCTTACTTTGAGGCGCATATCCTGGACTATGTCGTCAGAGCACATCCTGGTCGACGATTTGGGAAACAGTTTTGATTTGTATCGTATATGTCCAGCAGACCTACGAGTGTTCCTGCATCAAGGCATTCAGCGATGGCAGCACCATAGGTTGCAGCAGCATTTTTACACCGAGCAGGCGGAGGTGTGGCATCGTGCGCTTCGCCACGCGCTCGCCAAGATAAAGTGTCACAGGCGCCTCGGAGCGCTGCAGGCTTTGTGGGCTGACAACCTCCCCATCCCACCACGTCGGGACATGAAGCACGGGAGGCCCATTAGGCCATGTCAGGCCTGCGGCAAGGCTATCGACTCCTGTTGGGGTCATATCTTTTACGACTGCCCGCCGCTCCTCGAAGGGGACCCCGACCAGGAGTATTATGAGTTTCCAGAACAGCTTCAGGAGGTTCGTGACATGCTTCAGGCGTCTGGGCAGATGCTGGGGTGCACCGACTGGGACCAGAGATACCTGATCTATGGGGTTCCCGAGCCTGTTCCTGTACCGCACTACACCACGGTCTCCAAGGAGGTTTTTGCATGGGGAGATGTCTCGGGCTCTTGGGGGCCCACGTCATATACTGACGGTTCGGGGTTCTCGGCCAGCATTCCTGAAGTACGTAGGTGCGGGTGGTCGGTCTGCCAGCTGGACCCCGTCACGTGGCTCCCCGCCAGAGCTGTATATGGGCCTTTGCCCTACTACGTGCAGACAGTAGGACGTGCTGAGCGCTATGCCATTAAGATGGGACTTCAGTGGCATCCTGGGCATGAGGTTTTCATTTCTGATCTGAAATCGCTCGTGGAAGAAGGTGCGTCCTGGGACCAGAGGCTCGAGTTTGGCAAAGCGAAGCACGCCCGAGTCTGGAGAGATATTTTTTCGGCTGCCAGAGCACGCGATCCACGTCTGCCACCAGTGCGGTTTCAGTGGACTCCAGCTCACAGGAAGCTGGAGGACATCATCGGGTCGGCCACGCCAGACGAGCTGGAGGCCTACGTCGGCAATGCCTGGGCCGATTTCTTCGCGAAGTGTGGCAGCGCTTCGCATATGGTGTCAAAGACACTGGCTGACAGTCTGGCAGCTGGGCTGAAGCAACACAGGCAGGTCCTGCACTATGTGTCGTGGGCGGCCTTCCAGGTCGTGCAATTTCGGAAGTGGGGAGCTGACCCTGTCGTGGTGCAGGACCCAGAGCTCGCCCAGGTGCCTAAGCGTGTGGTTTTCGAGAGGCCCCAGGACCACGAGTTGCTCTTCTGCCAGAGGAAGTCAGAGTATCGGTGTCGAAGGTGCAATCGCGTCGCTCGGTGTGCGAGTACCCTCCAGACTCTTCGTTCGGGAGCTGATCGTGTGTGTGCTCCCTCGCCCCTCGTCCAGAGCCTGGCCGAGGACTTCTTCTTGCGGAGTTCTGAGGCGTGGCTTAGTGTCTCGGATTCTAGGGTCACGGCGGCCATCGAGGCGGCCGATAGGATGTTGGGGTCCACGTCTCGGCCTTTGGAGGCCTCCTCGGTTCCCGCGGTCCCTCCTCAGCCGCTGGGGCAGGTGTCGGCTGCCAGCGGCTCGGCCGACGTACCCCAACCTGTGCTTGCTGAATTCGCTGAATTGGGGCATGATGTTTTCTGTGTCAATTCCGTGTATTGCTGCCGCAAGTGCGGTGGCAATTTCAACGGGTCCGAGTCCTTCAGGTCCGCCCGCAAGCTGCGGGCGCAGTGCCAAGGTTTCTCGGAGAATCCAAAGACTAGGGCGAACCAGCTCACGGCGATCGACCGCATCACCCGTGGCCTGGAGCCCCGCCAGCGGGGGGCAGGAGCGGTGCGTTCTGGCCCGAACCCTGCCCCCTAGTGTTTCTTTTGGGCTTGGGCCTGGGAGGTTTTCTTGGGCGTGGTTTTCCTGAGGCGCCCCACCCTCTCCCAGGCTTCCGCCCTCCGCCACCCCTGTGGCTCTCAGGTCTCACACGCGGTGGGTGTTCGTCACTCGGACGCCTCTCCTGCGGCTCGCTCGCTCGCTCCTCCATCATCCTACTCCTCCCCCTCCAGCCGCTGCCGTGGCTCGGGCCCGGACGCGCGGCTGGGGCAGCGCACTTTGCGCTGACGGGCGCCGGGACGCGCGCGATGTCAGAATCCTCTCGCATCCGGTATCTCCGCCAATGCATCCAGGACGGGCATGCTGTCCACATCTCGCTAGGCATCCATGACACCAGATGCCGAGCCAAGGTCGTCGTGGAGCCGTTCCCCAGTACCACTCACACTGAACATCGTGGAGTTATGTTGGCTGCACCTGCGGCCATGGAGTCACACACCATTGGCACCGTGGTCACATCTCGCGGGCATCGGCACAGTTCTGGATGGAGTGAGGTAAAGATGTGATTCACGCTACATGGCGAGCACCGCCCAGATGATGATGATTATATCCGAGGCCCGCCTGGAGGTGGAGGCCGCGATGGGCGCCGACCGAAGCCTGCCTCTAGGCTCTAGGCAGGGCGATCACGACAGCTCAGCGGAAGAAACTGGAGATGACCCCTCCATGGGTCCTCAATTTGGATGAGCGGGCGAGTCTCCGGGCTGGCCTACAGACTCCCACTCGAGTCCGCTACACAGGTCGATGAACGCAAACGCGACGAGTCGTACACGTGCAATTTCACACGCTGGTGGGCCACCAGGATGCCTCTGCTGTCGTTCGGCTTGGCAGCGAGAGAGGGGGTCCACGCGAAAGCATGCGAAGCGAGAGGGGGGCGAAGCGAGAGGAGACGAGGCGAGAGGGGGAGACGAACCGAGAGGGCGCGGGGCTGGTCTACGGGGATCGCCCACGCGAGGTCGCGGGGACTGGGGCAGGACCCCTCCGCCGCCCCTCTCTCTCACAGTTTCCACCCCTGTGCCCGCTCCCTGCCCCCTGTCGTGTACGTTTGTTTCGCGGTCGTCGTTGTGACCAGCGGACTTCCGATCCAGGGTGCTGGGCAGGAGCCCCCACGGACGAGACGAGACGAGAGGAGGATGAGGAGGAGATGAAGGCGAAGCTCGAAGAGGAGCAGGCGAAGCTCGCAGGCGGACAAACCACGTAAGCACAAGCTTTCGGCGGTCCGTGCGGTTTTTTTGAATCGGCGCTGGACCCCCTCCCTGGCGCGAGGAGCGCGCCTGGGGCCCGCTCGTGTCGCCTCGTTGGCGCCTGTGCTCGCTCGTGGGCGCCTCGTGGACACCGCGTGGATTACACCACACAGCTTGCACCGCATAGCTCACACCGCACAGCTCGCGCCACATAGCTTACGCCGCATGGGTAAAACCGTGCAGCTTGCACCACCCAGCTCTCCATCACACAGCTCAGGCGGCATAGCTCACATCACACAGCTAGCGCCGCATAGCTCGCACCGCGCAGCTGATTCCCAAAGACCTTACACTGCATAGCTCCCACCACATAGCGTACACCACACGGCTTACGCAACATCGCCTAAGTCTCACAGTTTACATCACATTTCACACGACATGGCGTACACCGCATAGCTTTCAACTCCACAGTGCAACAACTCGCTGGTTGGGGTCACGCTGGCTAATATACATTCGTGCATGCGTTTATCTGATCTGTATTATGCACGCTGCCCGAAGAGTGGTGCGCGATGTGTGCTACACCTTGTGTGCCGTGCATTGCGCATGTGCTGTGTGGTGTGGTTTCTGTTATGCATATGCTGCGTGTCGCGCGCTGTGTGATGGAGTCGAGTCGAGAGCTATCTCGAACGTTCCTGGGCCGATCCGAGGGCCCCACGGAACTTCCAGAAGCGAGAGAGAAGGGCGAGGACGTTGTCCTGAAGGAGGCCCTCCCCTCGCCCCGCTCGCCCCCCCTCGGCTTGGTCAGGCTCGGCGGCTACTACTAGCTGGCCGCCGGGCGCCGCCAGCGTCGACCAGCTGCAGGCGGCGTCGCCTTCCACATCCTCCCCCCTCCTCCCCTGCCTGCCCTCCCTCGTCCACAATTGCCCAACATGCACACTATTCTCCTATCTCCTCCGACTGCGTCCTCCAAGTGTCCCGGCCTCCCCGTGTACTGGTTTTACACACATGACGTTTTTAATCTTAGATGTATTCTTATTTTACCAATCGGAACCAGTTCGGTGTTTCAAAATGGTGCCCCTGCTTCAGCGTGGGCCTCATTTGGGGATTTGCGCTTTGCTCCCGTCGTGCAGAGTGGCGCTCTCGCCCAAGCGTGGGCCACCTTTCTGGATCCGCGACCCCCTCTGTTCCTCTACGCCTTCCCCTGGTCCTCCTGCTCCTTCCACCCCAGTTCCCGCTGCTGCTGCTCGTCATCGTCTTCCTCCTCCCTCCTCCTGCGTGTCCTCCCGATGATCCTCCTGCTCCTCCTTCCCCCCCCTCCTATGCGCGCAGCTCCCCTCTTTTTCGATTGCGCATAACATGATGGGGTCCTCTTTGGAGTTCCAGGTCCGCTGTGACACGCGTCCGCGGATAGAGAAAACATCAGCGCAATGGGAATGGATGGGTGTGAGGGGGACGACTATTCTCCTCGCTCCATTGACTCTGGTCTGAATATGTTCGGCCCACTCCGCGTATTGTCTCCGCTACACCGGAATTCAACAGTTGGATTGTCTTTTCTCAATCGGAACCCTTTCGGCGTCTCAAAATGGTGTTGCCGCTGCAGCGTGGGCCTCATGTTGGCGCTTTACTCCCGTCGTTCAGAAATGCACACTCGGTCCAGCGCGGGCCACTTTTTTCTGGATATGGATCCTTCCTCATCGTCGTCGCCCCCCTCCTGTTCCCTCCTCACCTTTCCCCTGGTCTTCCTGCTCCTCTGGCTCTTTCCACTCCAGTTCCTGCTGCTGCTGTTCATCATCCTCATCGTCCTTCCTCCTCCTCCTCCTCCTCCTCATCATCACCATCATCATCATCATCATCATCATCATCATCATCCGGTTACTTCCGCTCGTCCTCCTGATCCTCCGCCACCTCCCGCTGTTCCTCCTCTTCATCCTCCTCCTCCTCCTCCTCTTCCTCCTCCTCCTCCTCCTTCAGCGCCGCGCACATTCGTGAAACAAAGAATTGCAAGAGCTGCACGGATTGAGGGCGGATCGTTTTCAAAATGTGGTCCTTGCCTTAGCGCCGCGCACATTCTTCAAAAAATGGCAAGCGCTTCACGGATTGAGACCGGCTCCTTTTTCAAAATGTGGCTCTCGCCTTCGCGCCACGCACATTCGTTTAACAAACTTGCAAGAACGTTACGGATGTCCATGATCAACGTACCAGGAATGGCTTTTGGAAAGATTCAGCATTATGCGGGCGCAACAGTTATGTTGATTCGCTGTATTGAGGTCCAAAAAATGGCGTTCTGGCACGATTCTGGATCGTCAAGACGCAGCAGTCACGTTGATACGTGGCGTTAACATCCCGAGAACACTGCTTTGGCACGCTTCAGGATATTCAAACTGTTGTCTTCCAACGAGGCATTTCCTCCAATGGAAATGAACCGTTGTAGGGACCTATGAAGAGGGAGCTTGGAGGAAGGGTTAATTCAAACATCGATGGTGGCTCTTGGGTTTCCACTGGTCCTCCTCCTCCTCCTCCTCCTCCTCCTCCTCCTCCCCCTCCTCCTCCTCCTCTTCCTCCTCCTCCGCCTCCTCCTCCTTTCTCCTCCTCCTCCTCATATTCCTCCTCCTCCTCCTCCCATTCCTCCTGGTCCTCTTCCTCCTCCTCTTCCTCCTCCTCCTCTTCCCCCTCCTCCTCCTCCTCCTCCTCTTCCTCCTCCTCCTCCTCCTGCTCCTCATCCTCATCCTCATCCTCCACCTAGTCCTCCTCCGCCTCTTCCTCCTCCTCTTCCCCCTCCTCCCCCTTCTCCTCATCCTCCTCCTCCTCCTCTCCCTCCTCCCCCTCCTCCTCCTCATCTCCTCCTCTTCCTCCTCTCCTCCCCCTCCTCCTCCTATCCTCCTCCTCCTCCTCCTCCCTCCTCCGTCTCTTCCTCCTTCCTTCTTATTCCTCCTCATCTTCCTCCTTCTCTTTCTCTTTCTCTTCCTCATCCTCCACTTCCTTCTCCTCTCCTCCTCCCCTCCCCCTCCTACGTCCCCCTCCTCCTCCTCCTCCTCCTCCTCCTCCTCCTCACTCATCCTCCTCCTCACTCCTCCTCCTCCTCCTCCTCCTCGTGTTCCGCCTCTTCTTCCTCCTACTCCTCCTCCATTCCTTCTCCTCAAAGATAACTTCTCCCTACTGCACCCCGAGAACAGTTTTTTGGGCGGGTCAGGTGTTTCGCCTGAGACTTCCCCTCCATGTTGGAGGCTGAAGCTTAAATAGTCACAACAGCTTCACATATGGAGGACGGGTGGTTTTCAAAATGTGGATTTCGCCTCAGCGCCGCGCGCATTCGTTTGAACAAGTTGCAAGAGCTTCGCGGATAGAGGGCGGGCCGGTTTCAAAATGTGGTTCTCGCCTTAGAGCCGCGCACATTCGCATTAAACATGTGCAAGGGTTTCACGGATTGAGGGAGGTGGTTTTCAAAATGTGGTTCTCGCTTTAGCGTTGCGCACATTCGTGTTGCACAGTTGACAGAGCTTCACGGATTGAGGGCGGGTGGTTTTCAAAATGTGGTTCTCGCCGTCCTGCCGCGCACATGCTTTAAACAAATGCGAGGGCGTCACGGATTGAGGGCGGTTCCTCTTCAAAATGTGGTTCTAGCTTTAGTGCCGCGCACATTCGCAAATCAAATGCACGAGCTCCGAGCTTCACGGAGTGAGGGCGGCTCCTTTTTCGACATGTGGTCCTCGCCTCAGTGCCGCGCACATAAACCAATTACAAGAGTTTTACGGGTCCCCATGCTCAACGTACCAAGAACGGCGTGTTGGAAATATTCAGGACTATGCGGGCGCAACAGTTACGTATGTTGATTCGTTGCGTTGATGTCCCCAAAACGGTGTTCGGGCATGATTATGGATCGTCAAGGCGCAGCAGTCAGGTTGATACGTGGCGTTGAAATCCCGAGAACAATGGTTTGGCACGCGTCAGGCTCTTCATATTGTTTTCTTCCAACGGGGCAGTTCCCTCGAAGGAAATGAACCGCTGCAGGGGCATATGACGACGGAGCTTGGAGGAGGGTTAATTCCAACATCGTTGACGCCTCTTGGGTTTCCACTGGTCCTCATCATCCTGATCCGCCTCTTCCTCCCCTTCCTCCTCTTCCTCCTCCGCCTCCTCCTCCTCTTCCTCCTCCTCCTCCTCCCCATCCTCCTCCTCCTCCTTCTCCTCATCCTCCTCCTCCCCATCCTCCTCCTCCCCCCCTCCTCGTCCTCCTCCTCCTCCTCCTCCTCCTCCTCCTCCTCCTCCCCCTCCTCCTCCCTTCCTCCTCCTCCTCCTCCTCCTCCTCCTCCTCCTCCTCTTCCTCCTCCTCCTCCTTCCCTTTCTCCCCCTCCTCCTCCGCCCCTTCCTCCTCCTCCTTCTCCTCCTCTTCCTCCTCCTCTCCTGCTCCTCCTCCTCCTCTACCCCCGCCTCCTCCATATCCTCTTATTCTTCCTCCTCCGCGTCCTCCCCCCCCTCCTCCTCCTCCGCGTCCTTCCCTCCTCCTCCCCTCCTCCTCCTCCTCCTCCTCCTCCTCCTCCTCCTCCTCCTCCCCCTCATCATCATCAGAATCATCATCATCAGCATGATGCTCCTCCTCCCCTTCCTTCTCCTCCTCCTCCTCCTCCCCTCCTCCTCCTCCTCCTCCTCCTCCTCCTCCTCCTCCTCCTCCTCCTCCTCCTCCTCCTCCTCCTCCTCCTCCTCCTCCTCCTCCTCCCTCGCACTTGTTCCTTCCTCCTCCTCCTCTTCCTCCTCCTCCTCCTCCTCCTCCTCCTCCTGGCTTGGCAGCGCGGCCTCAGCCGTTGCCCCACGGCGGTCGGCCCGCGGCCCCATAGCCCCCAGGCCCCACGGAGGGCCACAGCAGCCGCCGAGAGCGCCACAAGTTCTCCTGGCGGGGGCCAGGGGGCCAGCGCACGCCCTTGGCCCACTCGCCGAGGGGAGGCCTGCAGAGGCATGGCGGTGGCGGATACGCACGCCCCCCCGAGCTCCTATCCCTCGGACTTCGGTTTTCGAACCAGGCCCTCCTCTCCCGGCCCCCCCATCACGTCGGGAGGAGTTCAGGGCGCAGTGGAAACCCATGGCAAGATTTTTTGTTGCTTGTCTCCAAGATGCCATGGGGTTCTTGGTTTTCGATGGCTCTGGCCATGGCAAGCGTGACGTTCCCATACGAAAAATCAATGGACCTCCTGGTGTCTCAGGGTTGGGCTTCTTGTGGAAGGTTTCTTGTGGTCGAGCTCCTACTGTATCAATGCCACGCCGCCGTTGGGAGCCCCGTCAGCGTGCTGCCTGCTCCTTCGCTAGTCCGCAGGGCAGGTGCCTTTTCAACGGGAAGACGCCGATGGTTTCCCCACGGCGGGGTGGCATGGATACTGCTGTTGCCCCCCGTCCCACTCCGCCCCACCCCGCCGCACCCCTTCTACCCACCCGCCCATCCTCAGCACACACGACCCTCCCCCCCCCCCCTGGGCCTCGACCTTCGAACGTGGCCGGGCCCTCTTCTCCCAGGCCCCCCTCCTCGGCACACCCGACCATCCGCCCGCCGCCCAGCGCCCCGATCCTCGAGCATGACCTCTTTCCCCTTCCTGGCCACCGTCCTCGGCACACCCGACCCTCCGCCCTCCCCCAAACCCCCCCCATGGGCCCGCCCAGGTTTCGCACGCGCGCTCCGCGCCCCCCCCCCCCCCAGCCCCCCCGGCCCTGCCTCCTCGGCCTTCTGCTGCCCGTCCCACAGCGCCGCCCCAACCCGGTGGGCACCCCGCCGCGGCGGGCCCCGGGGGGCGCGCGGGTCCGTGGGTGGTCCTCGGCCGCCTTCGGTTGCTCTTCGCGGCCCGCGGCGGCTCTCCACGGCCCGCGGCGGCCCTCGGCTCCTAGTCGTCGTCGTCTTCCTTCTCCTCGTCGTCGTCGTCGTCGTCGTGATCATCGTCATCGTCGTCGTCGTGATCATCGTCGTCGGTGGCGTCGTCGTCGTAGAAGTCGGCGAAGTCGTCGTCGTCGCCCTCCTGGACCCGCTCAGGCTTCGCGCAGCCCGTCGCGGCCCCCTCCGCGGGGAGCGCCCGCCGCCGCCGCCGCCTCGGCGCGCGCGCAGCGGGGGTTCCGCCGCCGAGCACAGACGTGGGTGCCGCGCCCGCGCGAACAAGCGGGATCCCTTGTGTTCATCTTTCTCCTCTTCCCCCTCCTCCTCCTCCTCCTCCTCCTCCTCCTCCTGCTCCTCCTCCTCCTCCTCCTCCCTCCTCCTCCTCCCTCCTCCTCCTCCTCCTCCTCGTCTAGCCGTTCTGGCTCAGGCCGTTGTGGCGCTGAGCTTGCAAGCGCGTACTTCAGAGCGGCTCGTGCTTGCGAGCCACTTTGTGGTCCTCCTCCTCCTCCTCCTCTTCCTCCTCCTCCTTTTTCTCCTCCTCCTCCTCCTCCTCTTCCTCCTTTTTCTCCTCCTCCTCCTCCTCCTCTCTTCTCGTCTCCCCTCCTCCTCCTCCTCCTCCTCCTCCTCCTCCTCCTCCTTTTCCTCCTCCTCCTCCTCCTGCACTGATGACCAGCGCATAGCATTCTGCAATGATGGCGGACGCGATGGACTCCGTCTCCACCCTACCCGCCGCCGCCCCATCGACCACACCACACCCACAGGGGGGTCGGCATTTCGGGGAACCCATCCGTGTGGGAAGCTATACCCACAGGTGGCATCCCTGGATTCTACATGCGTCGCTTGCGCCCTGGGATTCATGTGCTCCAGGTAATTTGACAGACTCTGGCAATATCTTCCTTTACCTCTGTATCGATCGCAACGTTTCTCATATAGAAGCCCGGCACTGGGAGCCCGCTGGGGCCCCAGCACACCAGGGACATGCACCCAGTGTCAGGTATGTTCCCCGACCCAACCCCCAGGGCCTCCGCGGAGACTTCCCGGGCTCTCTCCTTGGGCTGTGGGGGCCTTTCAATCCCCCAGTGCCCTCCAAGACGTCCCAAGATGGCTTCAGGCCGTCCTAGGATCTCTTCAAGACGGTCCAAGAAGACCCCTCGACGTTACAAGTGAGGCCCAAGAGTACCCCCAAGGGGGGGCCCACGAGGCAAACAATACGGATGTCCACAAACAGATTTGAAGAATGTTATATTTCAGCGTGTTTCTTCTCTCCGTCTTCCGACCGCCCAAGACGGCTAAAGAGGTCTTCCAGCCCGCCCCATGACGGCCCAAGAGGCTCCCAAGAAGGCAAAAGAGGCCCACAACATGCCACAAGAGGGGCCCAACAGGGGAGCTTCTGAGACCCCTCTCAAGACGGCCCCCAAGACTCCTAGTATACTCCGATTCCGAAGAAGGCCCCCAATGCTTCCCCAACAGGCCCCCACAGGCTCCCAAGATATCCCCTGACTTCCTCCACACGGCCCCAGAGGGGCGTCTTAGAGCTCTCTGGGGGGCGGGCGGGACAGCAACGGGCGAATACATGCTTACTCGTATGTCTACTTGTATGTAGTTGTGCACCTGTCGCCCAAACCCGAGCACCCATTCGCGTCTTCCGCGACGGACCTACTGCTGCTCCCATTTTTTCGGGCACGGCCACTCACTCTTACCCCGCTTGACGCTAGACTCCAGGACAGGTATGATTTGAGCGCGAGCGATGGCTCTAGTCCGTGAAGGTGATATTGCCACATGGATCCATTGGCGTCGACCAGTCGCACCAGTGGTGCAGGGGTAGTTCGGCTCCCGCGAGGGGGGGGGAGGAGGGAGGGTAGGCCACGCCCTGGTCCGGGGACCAGCATCTCTGGAGGTCGCGAGTAGTAGCTGTAGACGGTTGTTTCGCGAGTTTGGTGTTTGGTGGCCGCTCTCGACCGCCAGGATTATCCTGGGGATCGAGAGCGGTCGCCAGGCGTCGAGACCATCGTCGGCACCATAAGTCGTCGTCAGCGACATGGCACAAATAGCTCCAATCGTATCAACACACTCACACCGTCATGACCACCACCAATACCCCCATCATCAACACACGCGCCATCACCACCAACAACATCAGCGTCACCAGCATCCTTCACATCATCAGCGTTCTCGGCGTCGAAACGCCGTCATCACCAACATCACTGCCGATCCGTTCTCAAGCCAATGTGGCGTTTGGTTTCCCGAGCGGGGCGCCGAGGCGCTCGCGATGAGAGACCGCGTCCTGCTGCCAGGGTGGAGCGGCCGACAGCACGCACGGCACCGGGACGCAGGCATGTTGCGGCGAGACGTGGAGCAGAGCCTGGGTGGAGCCAGCGTGCGTGCCGACACAGACGCGCTGCTCCCGCTGCCAGTGGCAGACGAGCGGCACAGGAGCTGTTTCGGGGTCGTCGGTGCGTTCGTTTCGCTGTCGGCCCTCGCGGCCGCAGCTGTGCGGTGGGCGCCCGTCCAGACCGCCTGGCCGGCCCCGCTGGACGCCGCAGCGGTTTCGGTCGAGGAAGAGCTGGCGAGGTGGGTCGACAACGGTACGGGGTGCTCCAACTGGCAGGACATCTCCATGGGAGGATACTCTGTGGAGGCCTCTCTAGACGCCTGCGGCGAGCGCTGCGCGGCCACAATGGGGTGTGTCCTGTTCAATTACCAGGCAGAGTGCGACGGCTATCCTGGGCGGGGCGCCTGCTACGCGTTCCGAGGCGCGTGCAGGGACAAGGTCGATGGCTGCTGGAAGCTGTTCGCGATGCGCAGCTCGGGCCCGGCAGGAGCTGCAGGCGCTGCACCAACCGCGGGAGCAGCAGTCCCACCGGCAGTTGCCGGTGGTGGCGTCGCCCGCCCAGCGGCCGCGCCTGCGGTCGGCGCTCCGGGTGCTGGCAACGTAGGCGGCACTGGCGAGGCCAGCGCCGACGGCGAAGGCGTGTCTGCGATTCCGTCCGGCAGTTTGGAATTGTCGGCGGTGCTGGATCTCGAGCGCGGCATGGGTTTCGAGCGCGTCGAGCAACCTCGTAGGTGCGCCCTGGTGGGCTCGTCGAGCGTGCTGCTGGGCAAGGCGGCAGGAGACGAGATCGACACGTACGACACCGTCATTCGCATGAACCGCCTCCCTCGGGGGCGGGACATCCAGAGAGACGTTGGCAACAAGACCGACGTGTTTTTCATCGCGAAGAGGGAGGAACGGCATAAGCATAAACTTTCGGAGATCCGCGCGGATTTCTTGGATCGGCGACGGAGCGCGCCAGGGACTGCGCTGGAGGCGGCGCCACGGGGGCTCAGCGCCGCTCCAAGGAGTCCGCGCGGAGCTCCGAAAGTTGTTCGTGATGTGCTCGCTGGTTCTCCGTCTCGGTCGTCGACACCATGCACCCCTGGAGGGAGGACGTGGAGATCCTCATGCAGAAGATGGGCGCCCATCCGCCGAGAGCCAGCTGCAGGGGGCTGGACAACTGCAGGAACGCCAGCCTCATATTGAAAAAGAGCACTTGCCGCCTGCAGAAGCTGGCAGAAGCCTGGGGCGGGGGCCACCCCTTCATCTCGGGTGTTGCCAGGAGGTGTCCCTGGTCCAAGGTGCCCCCAGGCTTTCCACGGAGGCCCTCACGGCCTCCTGAGCATTCCTCACGAGGCCCAGAGGGCCCCAGGGCCCCAAGAATGGAGCGAAAAGCTAGGGGCACCTTGCGCCAGGAAACACTTAGCAACGCCCTTCACCTCGAAGCGCAAAAATAAGCATAGACATAAAATGTTCGGAGATCCGCCCGGATTTGTCGGATCGCCGCTGGCCCCCTCCTTGGCGGCGCCTCCAGCGCCGCCGCCAGGGAGAGGGGGTCCAGCGTCGCTCCAAGAAATCCGCGCGGACCTCTAGAAGTATGTTTGTGTTGTTTTTCTTCTTCAGCCATCGCCTGCAACCGTCCAAGAATCGCCAGCATCGCCGAGAGTTTCTCGCAGATTCGTGGGCACTTTCCGTCCACCGGCTTCGTGGCCTTCCTGACCTTCCTGCCAATCTGCCAGGAGCTGGACCTGTTCGGCTTCGGAGGCTATGCCACCGCCGACGGGCACAGCGAGTGGAGTGGCCACGACCTGGGAGCCGAGCATGACATCGAGGACGCGATCGCCGCCGGGAAGCAGCCGCCGTGGTCCAATCCCCACGATCCCGACGCCTTGGACTGGCTTCTGGCCCACGCAGCCAAGGTCCAGAATCGGAGGTGATTGGCTCGGAGCAGTGGCGAGGGGCCAGGACCGCCAGCCACGTGCGTGACCCTCTTCCTCCTGCCAGAGTTTTCGCTGCTTTCTGTTCCGTCTGCGGTAAAACGGCCACGACGGACGTTCGGTACCTTTGTAAGCTTTGCGAGCCTGCGCCCCAAATGAGAGTCGAGAGGTAATGAAGATCCTCACGGGTTCGGTGGGCAGTCCCCAGTAGGTAATTTTGTGGACAGTGTGTCCCAATGTTTCTCATTCTCATTTTCCCCTTCCTCCTCACGACTCACTCTGAAGTTTCACCCATGAGTTTCCCTCACACCCTGCTCCCGTCCCCCGCTCCCCAGCGGTACCCGCAAGTGTTTGCCTGCTTTTCGACATCGCGGTCACACGCAGCGACGCGGCGGAGTCCGCCAGTGGTGGGTCACCAGGATGCCTCTGCTGTCGTTCTGCTTGGTGGCCTCATCTTCGTTGTTCGCCCGGCCAAGCCCAGAAAGCGGGCCCGGATGTTTCAGAGTCGCTGCGCGCGGCGGCTGGCAGACTGGACACCGTCAGACGCTTGGCTCCAGGGGCCACCCGTAGAAAGAGGAGGAGGAGGAGGAGGAGTTGGAAACGAGGAATGGGCGGCGATGAGAGAGAGGATAAGCATGAGGATGAGGATTAGAAAAAAAGAGGATGAGGATGAGAATGAGAATGAGGACGAGGATGAGGATGAGGCTGAGGATGACGAGAATGAGAATGAAGTGGATGGTGATGATGAGGATGACGGTGTTGTTGCTACTCATGATGATGGTGGTGCAGATGATGTTGACGGTGATGGTCATGGTGATAGTGGTGGTTATTGTGATGGTGTGGAGATGATGATGGTGATGATGATGATGATGATGGTGATGGTGATGATGATGATGATGATGATGATGGTGATGGTGATGGTGATGGTGATGGTGATGGTGATGGTGATGGTGATGGTGATGATGATGACGGTGACGATGACGATGACAATGACAATGGTGATGATGATGTTGATGATGATGATGCGAATGATGATGATTATAATGGTGATGATGATGATGATGATGGTGATGGTGATTGTGCTGATGATTATGGTAATGATGATTGTGATGCCGATGATGCTGACACTGGTGATGGTGATTACTATGATGATTGTGATGTTTATGGTTATGATACTGATGATGGTGGTAATGGTGATGGTGATGGTGATGGTAATGGTGATGATGGTAACTGTGATGATAATGCTGGTGATGGTGACGGTAATGGTGATGGTGATGGTGGTGGTGATTGTGATGGTGGTGATGATGATGATGATGATGACGGTGTCGATGATGATGGTCATGTTGATAATGATGTTGGTGATGATGATAATGGTGATGGTGATGGTGATAGTGGTTGTGATGATAATTATGGTGATGGTGATGATGATTGTGATGCTGGTGGTGGTTATTGTGATGGTGATGGTTATTGAGTGACCAGTGATGGTGATGGTGATGGTGATGGTGATGATGGTAATTTTGGTGATGATGCTGATGATAATGATGATGAATGTGATTGTGATGGTAATGGTGATGGTGACGCTCATGAATATGATGGTGGTGATGACGATGATGGTGATGATGATGATGCTGAGGATGGCGATGGTGATGATGATGATGATGATGGTGATAATGATGATGATGATGATGGTGATGATGATGATGATGCGGATGATGAAGCTGATGAAGATGATGAAGGTGATTACTGTGAGGACGCTGATGGTACTGATGATGACGATGATCATGGTGATGGTGACGATGGTGTTGGTGGTAATGTTTCTGCTGATGGTGATGATTACAATAATGACGATGATGATGATGTTGATGATGTTGATGGTTAGTCTTACGGTGGTGATGGGGACGGGGGCGGCGATGATGAAGATGAGGGTGATGAGGATGATGATGAGGATGATGATGATGATGATGGTGGTGACAGTGATGATGATGATGATGATGATGATGATGATGATGATGATGATGCGGATGATGATGGTGATGATGATGATGATGATGATGATGATGATGATGATGAAAGAGCGCGGCGAGATGCAATTTCAGAGGTATTGGGCACGTGAACTTCCCCCTCGGGCCTGCAGACGGCCGCCTAGGAGTAGGTATGACATGTAGCGAGCCGACTGCCTGCACACCGCCTGCATCGTGTCTGGTTGGAGCGCGAAATTATCCGGCGGCCCCCGTACCCGACGTCGCGAGGGGCAGGGCAATCCCAGACTGCCAACACTGACGATCAGCCACGCACGGGCGCCACCTTGACAGCGTGCGCCATGCGGTGAGCCGTCTACGATATGTGTTAGGGTGTCGTGGGGAGCATCGAGGGCCTCTTGGAGGCCGTTGGGGCGTTTCTTGGGAGCCTCTTGGGTATCTGTTGGTCCTCTTGGAGGCCTCTTGGGCGCGTCCTTGGCCCCTGTTTAGGCCTCAGGGGCCTCTTGAAGATCTCTAGGGGCCTCCTGGGGATTTCTTGGGGCACAGATCTAGAATTGTCGGTTCGTGGTTCCCTGCTTGAGCCCCTCTTTGAGCCGTCTGGGAGCTCTCTGGGGCCTCTTTGCATGAGATCATGGCCTCCGGGGCGCGAACGTGGCGCAAGTTACGTGGGATCGTGGCCTCGGGAGCGCGAGCACGGCGTAATTTACAAGGGGTCGTGGCCTCGGGGGCGCGCACGTGGCGTAATCTACTGGAGATCGTGGCCTCCGGGGCGCGAATGTAAAGTAATTTGCAAGGGATCGTGGCCCCACAGGCGCGAATGTGGTGCAATTCACAGGAGATCGTGGCCTCGGGGGCGCGAACGTGGTGTAATTCAGCAGGGATCTTGGCTTCGGGTGCGCGAACGTGGTGTCATTTTCAAGGGAGGTCGTAGCCGCGGGGGCGCCAGCGCAGTGTAATTTATGAGAGATCGTGGCCCCAGAGGCGCGAATGTAGCGTAATTCACGGGAGATCGTGGCCTCGGAGGTGCGACATTACAAGAGGGGCCCAAGAGGACCCCCTGGGGGGGCCCAGGAGGCAAACAATATGGATTTCCACAAAAAGATTTGAAGAATTTTATACTTCAGCGTTTTCCTTTTCTCCGTCTTCCGACCGCCCAAGACGGCTGAAGAGGTTTTCTAGCCCGCCCCGAAACGGCCCAAGAAGAGGACCCAACATGGCCGAATAGGCCACCAAGACGGCACAAGAGGCCCACAATATGCCCCAAGAGGGGCCCAATGGGGGAGCTCCGGAGACCCTTCTCAAAGCGGCCCCAAAGACCCCCATTATGCTCCGAAGAAGACCCCCAATGATTCCCCAATAGGCCCCCAAAGGCTCCCAAGATATCCCTTGACTTCCTCCAGATGGCCCCAGAGAGGCGTCTTAGAGCTCTCTTGGGGGCGGGCGGGACAGCAACGGGACATGCTTACTCGTGCGTCTACTTGTATGTAGTTGTGCACCTGTCGCCCAAACCCGAGCACCCATTCGCGTTGTCGGAGACGAACCCACAGCTCCCATTCTTCTGGGCACGGCCACTCACTCCTACCCCGCTTGACGCTAGACTTCAGGACTGGTATGATTTGAGCGCGAGCGATGGCTCTAGTCCGTGAAGGTGATATTGCCACATGGATCCACTGGGGTCGACCAGTCGCACCAGTGGTGCAGGGGTAGTTCAGTAAATATGCTCCTCTCCGCCTCATATTAATATCGCTTGTTGTAACACTTGCATGCTGTGCACTGTATGACTCTAACTTATACTGGTTATGCAGCTGTTTGTTTGCTTGCAGGAGATAAAAGGTGCGAGCTGGTCCGCTCGCGTGCGCCGCGGGGTCGTCCCTGCGTCGTCGTCGTGTCGTCGGCCGGCCGGCCACCTCACTTATCATTCTTGATATAGTAAACTTGCTTACCGGTTACTTGTCTTATCGATGTATCATCCCGTACCCTCTCTCCCTGAGCAGAGTGAACATGAGATCTTAATTCCTTTGTCATCTTACCCCGATTCTCAGAGGAAAAACTGGGTATCAGCCGAAAGCCACGACATAGTCGAAGCGGGCTCATATCAGCCAGAAGCAGGGATTTCTGATGAACCCCACGACTCAGTCGCTGCGGGTATGAGCTATGATAAGACAGATGAGATGTCCCTCACTTCGCGAAGCGCAGATCATTATATTGTACAACACGACGGACATAATCCACAAGAGAGCGTCCCTGGTCAGGGCCGCCTTCCTTCTTCTAATACCGCCACTCGGGTCTCTAGGGGTAGAGGCACTGAAGAGGCTGTTGAGACGTCGGAAGATGGCTCTCCCTCTGGAGTTCCGATCGGTAATCGTGAGCAAACCCCAGACCCGCATGGACGGAGTGGCACAACAGCAAGATCTAGACGAGGAGCACTCTCGTCTTTGATCGCCGAATCGACGAAGCCGATCAGTCCTATTCCGAATTCGACACATACATTCGTACCGGCCGCTGGTGAAGCCAGCCGACCGGGGGAAGTCCACGAGTCCACGGGCGTGTACCCCAACGTCCCAGGCGGATGGGGAGGCGCGAGTGGAAATGTTCCCATCCCAGTAGCATTGAACGGACAATTCGGCGAAGACAGTGATGACCCTGTTGATAGAGAGCATGAAATAAATTCAATGGAGGAAGTTTTTGATTATGTCAACAAAGAAATCTCCCTGAACCGAGAATTGTCCTCATTAACGGAAGCAGACCACCCCGCCCAAGGCGAGAGGTGGTCCCCAGATGGATCAGATGAAGATACCAGTGACCTGACGCCTCAGGCGGACAAGGCTGAGACTCAGGCGAAGCATGATAGGGAGTCTATAGGACGGATTCCTGCACCTCAACTTAAGAAGCAGAGGAACGAGGATTACGATTTAAACGACTCACCACTTAAAGAAGGTTTCTATCGTCCTGCCGTCGCCTCAGGCGATTGGCAACTTTCGATACCGGCTGTGGTTGAGGATGAAGAAATGGCTGGACAAC